AAAAAGAACCCAAGAAGATAAACCTGCTGCCTTTTGTTGCAGGAGACCTTGTGGCCCAGGGACCCAGACTCCTGCAGGTCCAGTTTGGTAACCACTAGCCACATTTGGCTATTTAAATGGAAATTCATTAAAATGAAATACAATTAAAAATTCAGTTCCTTGGTGCTCTGGTCACATTTCAAGTGCTCAGTAGCCGCATGTAGTCAGTGGTTCCTGTATCGGACAGCACTGACCTAGAGTTTGGGCCTAGAGGTCACGTTTGAACCCTGGTTCCACCAGGATGGGCGTATGGATGTGACCTCCCAGTGAGCTGTGCCTCCTCTGTGAACTGGGAATCAGTGTCGCTGACACCAGCGCCCGTGGCCTTTGCAACATGCTGTCTGGGTTTGACTCCTGCTGCTACTTACTGGTGGCCTTTGGGCAAGTTACTCAACCTCTCTGTACCCAGTTTCCTTATCCACAAAATGTGGATAATGGTGGTAACCATGCAATTTGATCATTTGGCCTCAAAAACAGCTAAATCCTATAGTTGGGTTAAGCACTGCATAGGATTTGAGGGAGGAAGGAATGAGAAAGGCCAAGAGCGGACTCTGGCACAGAATAAAGCCACGTGCCTTAGCACCAGGCCACCATCTTCATCAGCCAGGTCCCAAAGGGTCCCCCACCCACGAACAAGAAAGTGGGGTTGCTGGGCCTCCCAGGGTTTCACCGAAAGTTCCCATGCAAGGTCCTATGTGCGCCTTCCTTCCTCCTGGGCCAGGGCTCCGTGCAGCCTCCTGCCTGAACCTGACTCACCCGGGAGGTACCTCCTGCTTTGCCTCAGGGTGGGGCTCCCTGGGGGGAGGCAGGGCCTTGGAGGAACTCTTTCCATCTCTAGGCCTCCACCCTCGACCTAGCCAGCATCCTCCCCCACCTGGATGGCCGCAGCAGACTCCTAACTGGGTTCCTGGCTCCTCTCCTGTCCTTCTCCCGTCCAGCTCCACCCCACTGCCGGAGGGAGCTTTTTGGAATGAAAAGCAGGCCAGGCTGCTCTCTGACTGAAGCACTTCCTTGGCTCCCCGACGATGTGTGTGAATCCACATGCTTACTGCATCCATGCTCGTGACCTTGTGCAGTCAATGCCTCTATCTAGTTCCCAAACATTTTCATCACCTGCCAAGGAGACCCTACGCCCATGAACAGTCACGTCCCATCCCTCCCTCCTCCTCCCTGGTACCCACGAATCTGCCTCTGACTCTTGGGTCCTCAGGCTCTGCCTGCGTGCTCCTCCTTTCCTACCACTGCCACCAGCACCAGCCTCTTTTCTGTTTCCTGAGCACCCTAAGCTCTTGCCTGCCTCAGGACCTTTGCTTCTGCTGTTCCCAGACCCTGGAATGCCATCCCCCCAGCTCTCTACATGGCTGGCTCTTTCTCGCCCTCCATCTGGCTTCCCGGATCCCTGCACCTGGAGCCGCAGCCACTGCTCTGTTTATTTCCTTTCTTGTCCTTCTCACAGATCGTGAGTTGCTGGATTGTTTGTTTGGGTGCTTGTGAACAAGATGTTTAAACGTAGATTCTTGACATCTCCACGAGGCCCCAAGTCCAAGAACTAACCAGTGGGGGCAAGTTTGAAAGCAAGGCTGGTGGTCCTGTGCTGCGCAACTCCCAAGGGAGGTGCTGAACACTGATTTTGTGGCTTTTATTCTGCCCCACCTTCGGGCTCTGACAGGATTGACATTAGGGAGGGAGAGAGAATTTTCATTCGGAGATGGTTTCCCTGCTGCCACCATGGGGCTTCCTCTTTGGACTAATTCTAGTGACAAGGGACTTAACAGGCAGCTCCACTGTGTGTTTGTGGCTGGTGATTGGCACCTGCCCAAAAGGCCTAAAGAAAACAAGAAAAGAAGAGGCGGCTGGTGCTCTGAACCTAAGAGCAGAGTAAGCCAGACAGGGCGGCCCTGGGCCCCAAATCCGCACATCCTCCAGCAGCAGGGGAAAGTCTCCTGGAGCCTCTTTAAAAAGGACCTGACTCAAGAAGGTGTGGCGAGGGGAGAGGGAGTGAGCCCCAGGCTCCTGGGCTGAGGGTTGGAGCTGTGAGCTGCTGGCCGGAAACTTCTCTGGGTCAGAGAGTTGGCAGCAAATCTCTGAGAGCCGAAAAGTGCCCAAGGAGGGAAGGCGCTTCTGACCCACCCCCCTTCCACCCTCACCCTCAGGCATTAAGTTGTCCCGGTGACTTAGACTTTGCCATCCTGCCCCCCTCCTACCTCCCCCAGCTCTACCCCTAAGAGTCAGAAACCTGGGCTGGGGGAGGGGGACAAACGACCAGGCGCCCTTCTCTCACTGTGAGAGCAGGAAGCAGCGCTGAGCTGAGGAAAGTGAGACGCTCTGGGCTTCATCTTCTGA